TCAAACGAGTCCTGGAAAATGATGACGGTTCAGAGAAGAGAAGACAGTTGGTGATTCCAAAGAGCAGAACAGCCGAAGTACTTCGTCAGTTACACGACAGTCCATCAGGAGGGCATTTTGGTGTGAAGAAGACCCTTCAGCGAATTCGGGAACGGTTTTATTGGATGAACAGTTCCGACGATGTAAAAGACTGGTGTAAGAAATGTACTATTTGTGCTACGAGTAACGGGCCTTATCGGAAAAGGAGAGCTCCTATGAGACAATATAATGTTGGAAGCCCGTTTGAAAGAATAGCTTTGGACATTGCTGGGCCATTTCCAGAAAGTGATAATGGAGGCAAGTACATGTTGGTAGTAATGGATTACTTCACTAAGTGGGTCGAGATTTACGCACTTCCAGACCAGAAGGCGGCCACCGTTGCAGATAAGTTGATCCAAGAATATATCAGTCGATTTGGAGTGCCTTTGGAGATCCATAGTGACCAAGGCAGGAACTTCGAAAGCGATCTATTCCAAGGGATATGTGATCGACTAGGTATGAAGAAAACAAGAACTACGGCTTATCATCCGCAATCGGATGGTATGGTAGAACGGATGAATAGGACAGTTGGCAAGTATTTGACAAAGATGGTATCCGATCATCAGCGAGACTGGGACCAATATCTTCCGTTCTTTACAATGGCCTACAGATCTGCTGTTAATGAGTCAACAGGCCAGACACCAGCCAGAGTCCTATTCGGACGCGAGATGCGACTACCTTGTGATCTAGAGTTTGGGTGTCGACCTGGAGAAGATGTAGCAGGTGAAGATTATGTGATCGAATTACGAAGAAGAATGGACGATGTACACGAGTTAGTCCGTTCCCATCTCCAGATCGCTAGTGACCGAATGAAGAAACGGTACGATACGCAAGCCGAAAAGGGGTGTTTTAAGAAGAACGACAAAGTCTGGCTTTATAATCCCAAAAAGCGAAAAGGTTGTTCCCCCAAGTTGCAGCAGTTTTGGGAAGGTCCATACCTCATTATGGAAAAGATCAATGATGTCATTTATCGAATAAGCAAGATTCCGAGGGGAAAGCCGATGATAGTACACCATAACCGGCTGGCGTCTTTCGAAGGTGACCACGACGTAGATGAAGAAGTGGAAGTAAACCAAGTCCAAGATGTGTCTGACTTCACGTTTGAGGAATTCATGGGTGCCTATGGAGGTACCGGTAAAGCAAGACATGGTGTTACCACTGAAGAAAGGCAAGATCTACTCGCGCTTCCCGATGACTACTCACTGGCCCTTACCATCCCGGCCAGTATCAAAGACGCACCAGGGTTGGCATCCGTCTTTCGAAGGAAGTTCGGTCGAGTTGCAGAACTTCAATGCCAAGTGCCAGCTCCCGGTAAAACCTTGAAACTCCAAGATGCGTCACGTTACCTTTTCTACCTGGTAACAAAAGACACTGCCCGTGACCAACCTACCTACCAAGATGTATGGGAAGCCTTACTCCAGTTGAGAGAACACGTACTAGAGTCCGACATACAAAAGTTAGCCATGCCGAAGTTGGAGTGCCGCCAATTAGATTGGAGGGTTATACGAAATATGGTGGAGGAGATCTTTAAAGACACCGAAGTCCAGGTGTTAGTCTGTTGCAATCGGCATAGTTCCTGGTGCGGAGAGAAAACCGTCCCTTGTCATTTTTATACAACTGGAAGTTGTAAAAGAGGGTCCAGTTGCCGATACCAGCATATCGTTCCAGTTCCAGTCCCGACAAGGTTCCAGGAGGAACCATCTTTTAAGAGGGGGGCAATGTTACGATTTTAAATGTTATGGCATATAGAACTGTAAATATTTTATGACTAATTCTTTTTTTATTGATTCTCGTAATTTGTAGGTCAAAATCTACCTGAGACACGTTGGGTTCCCCTTCGCTATAACAGCGACGAATACGAGTTTTCTGGAACCGCTTCGATACCAGTTGTTAGATAATTGCCGCTCTGAGTACAAGAGCCTCGTAAATACGAGATGATTCTATGAAGGTCGCCGAACTTTCCAGATAGCGGAAGTTTTTGTATATAAACGACACATTTTTATTTTGTTAAGCAGTCATAAGAAGATCGGAAAACGCGATTTAATTGTAACGAAACGTAAATAAATTATTTGTAATATAAATTAGAATTAATAAAGACTTTAATAAATTCGTAATTAGTTATCGTGAGTTTTAATAAATTAGAATATAGACAATAAATTAGAATAAAGACAAATAAATTAGAACTACATAAACATACAACATTGTTAATATCTTTAACTGCTACATGTCTTTTTAATGTAACATTTATAACATCGTTTCCATGATTGTGTGGTTCTCATATTGTACTTTTTAGATGAACTGATGATGCTTTCAGAATACGAAAGCGAAACGTCTTCAAAATAGATAAAGTTGTATAAAATAAATGAAATTATTTGCTACGTAATTATTTTAATTTTTCGAAATAAAGTATTTAATTGAAATTAAAGCAAGCTATATGCATACACGTTTCTTTTTTTAAATTGTCATACAAAATCTATATATATATATATATATATATATATATATATACATGCAAACAATAAAACACTGAAAACTTTAGTTTTCAAAACTTCGACAAAATTTATTATCACTACAGCTGTTTGGGAAGAGTGCCTTTCTCAAGTGATCTATTTTTGGCATACGTTTACACTTTATATTATTAAACTAAATAAGTTAAAGAGCGGTGAACGATTTGTCTCAAGGTGGTCATTCAGAATTATGCCTTTATTTTTTAATTTGTTTTTCTTCCAAATTTCCATAGATGCTAATAAAGATAGCTTAAGGGCTTTATTTTGAATGTGAAGATTTTCAAATTAGTCATTAAAAGAATGATTATGGTCTAGAAGGTGAAGTGCGTACGTAGCATGTTTTTTTATTATTGAAAGCCCTTTTGCATTCCGCTATCCGTTTGTTAAAAGTTCTACCAGTTTGACCGATGTAAGTTTTTGAGCAGTCGCCACATTTAAGTTTGTATAATCATATTATATTATATTACATCACTGTGTAAGTGGTTTTTCTTTTGGCTCTTTTTGTTCTTAATATATTTGCCTAATTGTTGTTTGTTCTGAGAACTATTGTTATTCTTTTCTTTTTTTGTGTTTGGTTATTTTTTTATATCTTGCCTGTATATGTAATCGAGCAGAAGGTATGTGGTTTTTTATCTTGTGGTACAAATATTAATTTCAAAGCAGTATTATGTAGTTTTTGATTTAAAATTGTATTTATTGTTTGTTGTATCCATTGTTTACTGCTATTTACTTAATAATATGCAATTCTATTTCGAAGTTGTTTTATAACATGGGAATTTCTGTTAATCTATGTAATATACTATGATAGGCTGCCAACGGATGTTGTGTAGGATAAGATGATGAATTGTAGTAGAGTCAGTATGGGTATGTTATCAACTTAAGCAAATATGTTAAGAACAACAAGAACAAAAAGCAAAATCACTTACACAATGGAGTATACAAACTTAAATGTGGCGACTGCTAAAAAAAATTACATCGGTCAAACTAGTAGAACTTTTAACAAACGGATAGCAGAGCACAAAAAGGGCTTTTAATAATAAAAAAACAGATTCTACATAAACACTTCACCTTCTAGACCATAATCATTCTTTTAATGACCAATTTCAAACTCTTCACATTCAAAATAAAGGATTTAAGCTATCTGTAATAGAATATATAGAAATTAACAAATTAAAAAATACAATTATAAATTTATGTTTTCCACTACGATTTCCGTAGTGGAAAACGCATGCCAAAAATAGATCACTTGAGAAAGGTACTCTGCCGAAACAGCTGTAGTGATAATATTTCGATCCATGCAACGAAGACTATTGTCAACTCAATTTTGGTTGAACTGAGATAATCGCGTTTGAAAATTTTCGCAAAGATTTCGCTCTCAGAAATGATGATATCTTTGCAAGAAATACGTCTTAAATTTCTGATATATTATATATAGCAAAAACACATTTCTTTTGCTAAATTTTGTAGACTTACTATAGTTTTCGTCGAAGCAATTAAGGGAAAAAATATGTAGTAACATTTAGTGAAACAAAACAGTACTGTTTAAAAAAATGACAATAAAAACATTTCTAAAGCTAATCGGAAAAACTAAAATTAGTCTTGTTCATATTCTTCATTATTCTCACTTTCTGTTTCCATATTTCGACTACTTTTAATATTCTGACCCTTTTGTATTTTCGTTCCATTATCGGCTGAAAGGGAAAAGTAAAACTTAGAAATGCTATAAAGACTGTTTCCTGTGGGTTTACATAAGTCAAGCAAAATATTTAATTTTTTTGGCATTTATTGGAAGCAAGCTTGCATAAAGTGGGGGCAATTCTTTAGAATTATAGTTTTTTAATGTATTTCTTTGAGACTTTAATAAGGTTATTCTTTTCAGCTCATCGGCATAGTTATATTTGAACTTCATGTTATAAGGTATATCTGATAAAAAGTGCACTTCTTTAATCTTGCTTATTTTTGGCTTTTCTCCGCCATTACCCTTATCTCAATTTTCTAATTTTACCTTTTGTTTTAAACTAAAAAAGTCGCTTTGTGCCATTTCTTTTACAATGTATGGCTTTCCAGACACTTTTACCATAAGAATCAACATGATCCATTGATCATACTGCTGATTGCTGCTTTTTGGCATTTTTAATAACAACATGCATGCTGTCTCCTTCGTGTTGTGTATTCTCTGTTTCTAGAAATCGATGAATTATTTGAATATTAAGTTGCTGTAAAACGGTTGCGGTTTTGTCCGCCACAATTATCAGAATGAAGAATAACCTTTTTGAATCCATTTTCTTTTTGATGTTTTAAAAAACTTAAAATGCTTATTTTGTTTGGTCCCGTTTTCGCAATTACCTCGTGCCACACATAACGGTAGCCTTTATTATTTCCCATATCATAAATTGTGAAATTATATGTGGCGAGTTAACTCTTGTAATAAAAGCTGCTGACAGAAGATTGGGGTGTTACGAGGACTTTCAGTAAATTGAAACAAGCGGCACAAACTGATTTATCGTCGATCGCCGCTTCCTTATCTGCATCCTTTAAAACTCTGGCAGCAATTTTATTAAAAATGTGTTTATCAAACCTATCTTTTAGTTTAATTTTATCTTCTGTACTTGCTAGTGGATAGGCTGTACAGAGGATGCATTGGTCCTTTTTTGGTTTGAAAGGTGCAAGATCGAACTCAGCATTAATAATTTCCCTGTATTGTCTCAAAATACCTATTTTTACATTTCTTTCTTGCATGCATTCTACGTAAAATCGATGAATTATTCCAACGTTAAGACCCTCCTCCAAGTACGTTTTTGTTAACTTTTGTCTGGTGTAGTGGGAAGGCACCACAGGAAAAAGTTGAATGTGATTTCGTTCGTATGGATTTTAAGATGCTTTCATCAATTTTATTTGGTCTTGTAGCGTGCTTCCGTGACTTGGGTCACGTTATGAGAAATAATAAATTTAGAGTACTACAGCTGATCGTTCAAGGGAAAATAGACAGCAGAAGGGGTCCAGGGAGGAGAAGACACTCGTGGTTCCAAAACTTGCGGCAATGGTTCGGATTGTCATCTGCTGAACTATTCAGATCTGCCGTAAACAAAGTCAGAATAGTCATGTTGATTGCCAACGTTCGGAACGGACAAGGCACATGAAGAGGAAGAAGCGTGCTTCCCTCTTCTATCTGCATCAAGCGATCCATTGTTTCCAATTTTGCTAAAATCGGTTGTTATCCACTGTTCGGATATTCCATAAGTATTGAGAAGCATAGCTTTGCACACCGGTATATCGTTATTTTTAAGAGCTGGTATATATTTTCTAAAGAAATTTCGTCTTGAATTGTGGTCTCTTTTTCTCACTTGCTTTTTATTCACTTTCTTATCCACGTATCTTGCTATGTTATCCCATTGTCTAGTGTGATCACCTATTTTCCAAAATTCGTCAAACAATATCTTTCTATTTGCTTCACCTATCTTCTCTCGACATTTATTTCTGCAATTTTCTTTGCATGGCTTTTTCATCTGTCTGACAGGAATAAGTTGACCCTTACGGTTTTTTTGTTCGATGAGAGTTCGTGTTTAGATCTTTCTTAGCCTTAACATCAAGCCACCTACTTGCATTTCTTACACGCTTGTTACCTGTTTTTTCTTTAGCCGTTATTTTATGCTTTCTATAGACCTTGACACCCTGAATTTGACTTTTGAGGTCAGTATCTGGCATATTAGATGAGTCAAAATCTGATGTTTGTTCAGATTCATAACTAGAATCGAGATCTGAATTATCTGACAAGTTCTCAATAAAGCTGTTGATATTATCAACAGTTATATCAAGTAATAATGATATACCTGTTTGTGCAGTATCAGCACTGATGTGCTGGTCTGTAGAATGGTTGCTGAGAACTAAAGTTGTATCATACGTATGAAGTTTTATTTATCATACATGTACTTGTATGACTAACACAAGTCAATTTAGTGATTGGAAAGTCGCCGGATTTAAAAAAAAGACCTGTTAAAATACATACATAATAAAAAAATCTACCTACATGCCTAAATTCACTGGCACATTTGTTAATTTTACAGGCATAAGTAAACTTGATTTTCGTTTCATAGAGTGTAATGCACACGTGCTAGAAGGGCATACTGTAAGAAATAAAATGAAGATAGATCAAACTTACCTGAATCTAATGACTGTTTTTCACATAAGTTTTTTGCATTGTGCAAAATTGTTTGTGCTCTTGATTTCATTTTAATTCGCGTAAAAATAACTATTTTCATACAGCAGCTACTTTAAATTTTAAATCTTTATGTTTATAGTAGTATGTAACAAACATAATCTACAATCATGGTGAAAACTATAGTAAGTCAAACTTGCAATACCTTCCGCTCTTTCTTGCAACGAAGACTACAGTAACTCAACTTACTATAGTTTTCGCCTGCATAATTGAGGGTCAGTAAACTTACTGTAAACTTACTTAAAACGTTTTACTGGTTTCCTTAAAATTTGTACCTCAGCTACCATACTTTTCTTCCAAATAAAGCTCAAAAAGAATAATAATAATAATACCATAATCGTAAGTCAAATATAACGTTTTTTGAGTTACTATAGTCTTCGTTGCATGGGTCGAATTATAAAAAAAAATTGTGGAAGTATATATATATATATATATATATATATATATATATATATATATATATGTACAATATTTTTGAAATAGTTGGAAGTTTTGAAATCAAAAGTTTTCGGTGTTTTATTGTTAGATAAAATGAATTTCCATCAAGTAACGGTCAAATCCATCAATACAAACCTCTAAATCTGTCTCTTCGTTTATAGCTTGAACATCATTATATCCTTTCGTCAAAATCTCCAAACATTTAGCATGGTACCCTATTTCCGTAAACATAAAATCTAAGAGAATAGCTTTAATATCGTGCAGTTTTTGCTTTTCAAAGGTATTTGTCTTTTCTTCTAGTATCTGGATGGACTTTGATACTTCAGCAGTGGCTTTTACCAGTTCAGTTTCAGCTTGAATCTGAACGAAATAAAAATAAAATTAAAATCTTAAAATAATGTGTTCTAAGGATATTTTATAAAAATCTTAAAACTTTGGCAAAGTATATTTTGTGAGATAATATTTTTATGCCTCGATTATTGTTTTAAGAATGTTTTTCAATTTATGTGGGGTTTTTCGCAAAATATAGTTATGTAAATATATTAAGATATCATTCAAATAAAAACAAAAGATACAACATTAACAAATAGAAAAACCAAAGGGACAAAATTGGCTGGTACTTGCTACATTGTAGATTATACATAAAGGGGTTTTTTGGCCTCGTAGACCTTTACACATACCAATACCAACCTAAAAAATATTTTTTGCATCTACCTGAAATCTATATATGTGACTTTCGAATAGGCCTGGATATGCTCCTGTGATCAACCTTCATTTGAGTAGAAGCCTTTCTTCAACATGTACTTACATCTTTCCTTATTAATACAATTAATTACAAATAAGAAATTTATTGGCATTCACGGCGAAACCACGAATGACAAAAGAAGGCTAATGTAATCTGGGTGTCGCTTAATACCCGGAGTTCAGTCGTCTACTCGTGTTCACCTCACAGAATTAGCGACCAAGAATATGACGTGTATTAGTTGCGGTTGTGAAAGGTTCAGCTATATTTGCTTCAATTAAGTTTAAATACAGTACATGCCTTCAGTTTAAATACTTTAGGACATCCAAAAAAAATTGGTCCCTAACAACTCCACAAATTCCGCAGTTTTCATTTGGGTTAATACCTATATATACGTGATATACTTGTCTGAAGCATACTTCGATAGATTTGTGAAGGAAAATTAATTTTTTGCTTAAATTCATTTGATGTTGATGATGATGTTGCTGCGTTTTTACAGTTGTGTAGAGGTCAATATATACATCCGCAAGATTCCCGAACACAGATCATCGTCGTCTCGAAATGCAACCATATGGGCTACGTTGAAATAAGCATGTTCAGGATACCGCTCCCCTCTTAGATCTTAGCGTTCTGATCAACAACTCTATATTACTATTAAACTGGGAATAAGCCACAATTAAAGATAAAAATACGTTTATTGACGTTTCAATTTCCACTTCGGAAATCGTTCTCAAAATACAAACAGTAAATTAAACAAATTTTGTTTTTTGTTACATAGTGAAAAATTCTTCTAATAATTTAATTTTATCTGACTCATTTATATTGAGACATACATTATGCATTTTAAAGTAGACGACTTTAAAATGATATTGCCAATATTGTTGAGTTGCGCTCCTGGGACGACTTTACTTATAAGATAGTTCATTCGATTACATGAAATCAACTTTAACTTGAGAATATCCGTCAGAAAAAAATCATAGCATGTAATTCGTCTTTAAAAAGACAAACACATGACATGATGACAGTAAAATTCTCCTGTTAGTGATTCCATAGTAAATTATGAGGGAAAAACCAGGAAAAAAACCTCATAATACTATCCCGACATTGTAAGTATTTTTGTTCGTGAATTTAGTTTACCTTCAACAAACATCAAAATTCTGATTTTATATGTTACGTTATTTAAAAAACATATATGATGTATCCTCTATATGTTACTGACTTACTAATACTGGTATTTTCTTATTAATAACTTCCTCTTTCAATATTGGTAACCAGATCCTACTACATTCTGCCGAGGAATTTGCGACACAATTGGCTTCATTTAGCATAATTAGAGCCGCTTCTTTGATTTTTCTTTTTTTACCATCCGGTTCTTTTAGGACTACATTTGAATTATTCCATTGAACACTATGTTCATTATCCCATGCGTGTTTACAGATTTGAGATCTATCAAATTCTCTATTTTTAATATAGGATTGATGTTTACTTATTCTAACATTTAATGGCCTTGATGATTCACCTAAATAAAACTGATCGCATTCACAAGGTATTTTATAAATGCAATTCTTTGTTCTTTCTTGTTCATTGTTAGGTTTGGTTTTGGACAAAATAGATCTCAACGTATTTGTTGTTTTGAATGTTGTTGAAATGTTGAATTTATTTCCTATCCTTTTAAGTTTTTCTGATAATCCTTTTATGTACGGTATTGTTATTTTCCTCATATTATTCCTTGTGTATGCTGTAGGATCTCGTTCTAAGTTGTTCATGAAGCCAATTGTGTCGCAAATTCCTCGGCAGAATGTAGTAGGATCTGGTTACCAATATCGAAAGAGGAAGTTATTAATAAGAAAATACCAGTATTAGTAAGTCAGTAACATATAGAGGATACATCATTTATGTTTTTTAAATAACGTAACATATAAAATCAGAATTTTGATGTTTGTTGAAGGTAAACTAAATTCACGAACAAATACTTACAATGTCGGGATAGTATTATGAGGTTTTTTTCCTGGTTTTTCCCTCATAATTTACTATGGAATCACTAACAGGAGAATTTTACTGCCATCGTGTCATTTGTTTGTCTTTTTAAAGACGAATTACATGCTATGATTTTTTTCTGACGGATATTCTCAAGTTAAAGTTGATTTCACGTAATCGAATGAACTATCTTATAAGTAAAGTCGTCCCAGGAGCGCAACTCAACAATATTGGCAATATCATTTTAAAGTCGTCTACTTTAAAATGCATAATGTATGTCTGAATTGTCAATATAAATGAGTCAGATAAAATTAAATTATTAGAAGAATTTTTCACTATGTAACAAAAAACAAAATTTGTTTAATTTACTGTTTGTATTTTGAGAACGATTTCCGAAGTGGAAATTGAAACGTCAATAAACGTATTTTTATCTTTAATTGTGGCTTATTTCCAGTTTAATAGTAATTAATTCACAATGCCACAAGAAAATAGCTTCAGAACAATAACAACTCTATATGTAAGCCCAGGATGGCGGAATCTACAGAACTCTCCAGCTCTACATGAACCTCTCAGAAAGAAATAATAGTCCACTATCTTTAAGGACACGATCTCTTCGGATTAGTGCAACACACAGTAATTCGTACGCCGGTTTCTAGGAAGATCACTTCAAGCATGCTTCTGACAATCTTCTAATCCATATTTTATAGTTCATGGCCTATCTTGGAGGCCATGCTCTTCTAAGGCCAAATTCTTGATGTCATAATTGCACACGATTTTCATCACATTAGTTAGAGCACGTCATATATCCTCGTAACTTGCCCTGTCTGTATACTACTTCCTGGTCACCATATACAGCAAAGATCGAGGACCATCTTCTAATCTCAGTACTCTTCCAACTTTAGGCTGCTGATTTTGTAACTCGTCCAAACGACCGAACTTCTTATAAAATACGGATGAGATTCCTTTAGTCATCTCAAAATCTTGGACAACACATTGGGCTAAAGAGACATTATGCAGAACACTAAAAACAATTTCTCTCTACATAATTTGGCATAAATTCAATAAAGCTTGGTCGCCGGTCATCTCATGTTAAAGGTTAAAGATCTAATGTTAAAGGGCTTCTGTTTCATTTGAGCCAGCATAAGGTGCAAGACGATTTACGCGAACTACTTTTTTTTACCTAGGAAACAGCCTTTTCTTGTTATGTCCAATGATTAGCTGTCACAATAGCTTCAAATTGTCGAAGGTATATGAACCAAGAGGACTTTTCATCAAATGTTGGCAATTTGGAGCTCATATGATGTGTCGTTTCGTCTCTAGGTGATTCTTCTTTCACTACAGGATCTAAAATTACTGCATTAACTGGTGGTAGCACTTTTGTATTAGTTATCATGTTCTATAACTATTTGATCCTCTCTTCTACCCTATCGAATGTTCTAGAAAATTCTTCAAATTTCTCATTGTTTTGACTACATATTTCGTCTAATATTCTAGAAACATTTTCGAATTACTCGTTGTTTCGTCTAGCTGCTTCTTTAATAATTTGAGACGTTTCATACGATATACGAACAAGCTGAATTTTGCAGAGAATATTAATTTTGGAACCCTAAAAAAGATGCAAAAAGTTTACTACTTTCACCCCCGGGCTTCCCCCTATACCCTCCTCGCAGCGGGGTAAACAGGCAAAAAAATTAATTTACTAAGAATCTCTACATGCTAGAAAAAAATGTTTCAAATAAAAAATCTAGCTGAGATAATTTTAAATAAAAATGTTTATAAGCATTTTTTGTGTAGAATGAACCGTTCTCTTAGAAACAACGCTTGAAGCGACTGTCGAATTTATATGTCAGTTACTTGCGCGGAATCAATGTTCAATAAAATTTGTATCAGCTCGACGGTAAAAATTCTATATCTTTGGATCCAAATGTCGTATTGACAAAAATCAAGATCAGTTTTAAAGACACAGAGTGCATCTTTCGTCTGCAGTTTTCGTATTTGGCCGAGAATAAACTCAGTTTTTATAAAGGTGTTAAATAAATTAAAATGGCGCGATTTTTGCCCTTTTTTTACGCGATTCTTGTTAGATGAATAAAATTGATCACTTTCATTGACCAGTTGTAGTAAAATTTCCATTTTTAGATATCAATCTGTAAAATCTATGACATGAAATTTCAATTTTGATTTTTGGCAACCAATATAAGGCATTTGAAATATGACTTTGTGAGATATTCTGCTAAAACGCAGGATTTAATGTTTTACATTACAAACGGTCACACGTCACGGGAAGACGTCATTAAAAAGATGGTTTTGAGTGTAGTTTATAATTAACAAAAAAAAATTAACATCTGTTAAAATCTGAGTTTATTTGCGGCAAAACACAAAAACTGCGTACGAAAGCAGAACTCTGTACCTTTAAAACGCATAATGATTTTTGTCGATAGGACATTTGAACATTGATTTCGCGCAAGTACCTGACATGTAAAATCGACGTATTTTGATGTACTTCGTCGAATGTGTAAACAAAAAGAATTACTAAGAATAATCAAAGAGAGGAAAATGCAATACTTAAGTCATGTGTTGAGAGGCGAAAAATATGAATTACTTCAAGTTATACTGGAAGGAAAAGTACAGGGCAAAAGAT